TAAATCAGGGTTGTAAGAACCAAAATTTAGTTCCTAAAACCGACTAAAATTTAGTAACCCTATTTTTAACTAAATATAGTCGCACCAATCAAATTAAGTCATCTAGACCAAATTATTTCATCGGCACGAATAAAATTTTAGTCCCAAGAGCTAAAATTTCGTCGGTTTTGAATTTGGTTATATGGACTAAACGGTCTTCTGGGTGTGGAGCCGGCGGAATCTAATTCTGTCATTGTTTCCAATGGATGCTTTTATATTTCAAATATTAGAGCGGATTATGATAGCCCTACACACAAGAGAATTACGTACCGTTTGGCAAAGGTGCCCCCATCTCACTCTGCCGTGACCTGCCTTCGCCGAGCTCGTCTCTCCAACGCTTCCGATAAACTTATTATTTCATGTTGGCCGATACATATACAACGTTTTATAAATTTATAATAGTTGCAACGCCATCTTGGCTAGGCCGCCGCCAACAGACTCCAGCACCTGCCTTCGCCGCGCTCGTCTCTCAGCGACCTCTCTCTGGCCAAGGGGGCAAGCACTCCGACTCCCACTCCGTGGGCCGGGGTTCGGTACTGGGCCGGCGGCAGCTGCCCGGCCGAGACGATTGCTTTCATTTTCATCTCTTGCAGAGGATTGTCTGAAGATTGTCTGAGGCTCCAAAGTCTGGTAACGCATTTGCCAATCCGCAGACAAACGGCAGTCAATCCTCAGTCTAACTGGGCTGAGGATCGACTGCCGATGGACTGCGGTCTGGCTGTGGTTTGTCTGACGTTTGTCTGCCGTCTGTCGATGAGGATGGTCAGCCGTTTGACTACCGATAGACTGACGATTGACTGACGACGACCTGCCGTTTAACTGCGCTTACCTACGAATTAACCGTCACCCTCGACAAGATTCAGACAACATTAAGACAACATTCAGGCTATTACTTTGCCTCGGGCTGCTCGAAAATGTTCGCCGATAGTCCGGCTCTCGGCGGCCTTTTTTTTCGCTTTTGCTAGGATTCGTCCTAGCGTGAAATCATGCGTAATCTGCCAGCAAATTTTAGTCTGAAATCCTTAGAAGGTCATGTAAAAACCGCCGGAATCACGTAAAATCCGCCGGAATCTTGTGAAATCCAACGAAATCAGGTAAAATCCGCGGAAATCATCTGTAATCCTTCAAATCAGACATAATCTGCCGGCAGGTTTTAGCGTGAAATCTTCTGAGATAATATGCGCAATCCGTGAAATCATGTGAAATCACGCAATCTTTGCAATCATGTGTACATCCAAGGAGAGAGTGGTGGCCCCCTCGCTCCGGTGGCCAGCTGACGAGCTCCTCGCACATGCGAGTGACCTAGAGCGGACCCGTGGCGAACAGAGGCGAATACTGCCGACACTATGGCAACATCGAAGCGAACCTCAGCGAACGTCTTGTGCCCAGGAGCGAACCTATGGCAATTTGAAGCGAACTCAGCCGATCCCTTGGTAAAATACATGTGAGCGAACCAGAGCGAACCAGAGCGATCTTGATGCACTTTGCGCGCGTATCGCAGCGATTCAAAAGCAACGCCTTCGCTACCCAAAAGCGTACAATTCATTTCGGATCGGGTGAACTCTGGGCACGCCGAGTCACCGAGCCACCTGTGCTTGGGCGCTCAGGGTGGGCCGCTGTCCGTGTGCACACAGCTGCGTGGCGAGCTGGCCCACCCTGCGCGCTGCAGGCGTCATGGTCGGAGTCGCCTCGGAGAACGTTTCCTTTGCGGGCACCTCCAGGGCGATGGCGATGAGCAGCTTGGACGCGTGTGTCCGCAGGGCCCGTACCACGCCTATGTCACAGAGACGAGTCAGTGCCCCGAAGGCACCGTCAACCCGGGCGCCTTGGTGGGCAACTTGACGGGCAGTCTCCGGCATGTACGGTCCTCGAGGTACCCATTGTTCACCGGCCAGCTACTCTTGAAGAGGGATGTCGTCGTCGGCGAGATCGGGGTGAGGAGGATTCTGTGCTGTCGCAGCGCACGCTGTTGCCCTTCCTATCGTGCCTTCCTCCACTGATTCAGAAACTCGCGCCCGAGCAGATCAAAATTGCAATCGCCAAGTGGGACCCCGTCGCCGGCTGGAGAGAGAACTTCTTCCGTCTCGAGGGCGTGCCCGGCGACCCGAGGGCTGAAGTCTGCAACGTGGTGTCCACCATGGCGAAGGATGTCCTAGACGTGGTTTCCCGCAGCAACCCCAAGTTCCCCAACAGGTGCCCATTTCGCAAAGTAAGTACGTCGCGCGGTCCTTATAGTTCTTGAGATAGCACGTGACCAGAGAGGCGAAAACAGTCATTCCGTATCGTTTCGTTTCTAGATGTGTAGAAAGAGACCTAAACAGGTGTATATCTCATCTCCGTGAATTGTCGTGTCCGGGTATAGCGCTTTATAGCACGACAGATTGCAACAGGCACGCAATGCCTCTATAGCTGTATTTAGTTCTGTTTTTCGTTCCGCACCTGACAGTCGATCTGGCACAACAACGAATGAAACTTTGAAAACTCCGTGCTTTCAACAGTGAGCTGGGTCAAAGAAATCAGACTTAGTTATTTCGTTTTTCCTATTCTGCTTCCGCCTCAACTTCTTTATTGGTTTTCAGGGCACGTACAATTTCCATAATTTCAGCACTGGTCTCATACAACGCTACGAAGACTTTCCAGTCTTCCCCTACGGCCGGTTCAGAGCAGACCTTATATTTTATCTGATGAAATCCAGGCAAAAAATAGTCGCTTGTGTGAGGGGGGTCGGTGAAGTTGTTCCGAGAGTGTAAACAAGTTGATATAATAAAGTGCCCTATCAAAAGGCTCAACACGCCAAGTTGACCAAAAAAACGTAAACAGAAAAATTGAAAAATTTATTTCGCCGCCCATTTTCAACTCTATCCCAATTTAGTTTCGCAACTTCTGCTGCTTCTGCGGTTGCTTAGAAGGCGATTCCTCCAGCGAAGTAGCGCAGCCTCAAAGAGCGCCAATAGCTCCAGGAACAATCAGGGCTGCCACGAAGTCCCAGTTTCCGAATATCCTGACATTTTCCTGACCTAATCCTGACGAAAAAGTGACTTTATCCTGACATTTTCAGAACAAGTTGACAGCAAAATATCGCTATTTTTCAGGGGTTAAGAAAAAAATTGGGTATTTTTTTTTAGGAAAAATACATCAGAGTGGCGCACTACCACAGCTCCAACGCCTCTGGCCGAAGTAGCGCCGAGCATCAGGGCGATAACCGGTACAAACCATTTATCCTGACACTTTTACCCCAAAATCCTGACATTATCCTGATTATCCTGACAACTTTTGAAAATCCTGACAAAATCCTGATTATCATGATTATCCTGACGCGTGGCAACCCTGTTTTAACTTTTAACTCTCCAATCAATTTTGGAGAGGACTAGCTTATAATACTATTATTACCATAGATTATTACTTTTGATTGTAATAATAGTGTTTGTTCTTTGATCTTTCAGTGACCAAGCTCTTGACTTCCACGGGGGCTTGGACGAATGAGGAGAAGGACTGCGAACTGCGCGCCGCGGCCGGGCGAAAAAGCTGCACTGTCAGACAAGTTTTCCTGAATTTTCAGTACTTTTAGTCTGAAGTCTTTCTACAGACCAGTAGTCTGGAAATCCAGACTGCACCAGGGTTTGAAATTTCAGTAGTGCCTTTCCATACCACTTACTCTGAAAATCAGACAGCCGGTATGAAAATATTTTTGTAAATGTTCAAATTGAACACATAGCGAGCGACTGTGCTGTGGGGGTAGAGGGCTACCCAGGTGAGGACGTATTTGTCCATTCGGTACTGCCCTTGGTTGAGATCGAACCGCCAACCTCCAGGTTTGGAGGCCGCTACCTTAACCATTTGGCTGCCGGCTACCTGCGTGGGGTGGGGAGCAGCGTCGGCTACCAGTGTGCTTCGTCCGCCTGTCTCGTGGACTGTCCACTCAAAATTTATACCGGTAACTCTGAATTGTAGATTTAGTGTATAGTCTGAAAATATACTTTAAAATATTCAGACAAATTGCTCTGAAAACCTGATTCAGAGTAAAGAGTCTGGATTTTCAGTCTAAACTTAGAAAATTTTGAGTAATAGTCTGAAAACAAGATTCAGAGTGCCGATTCTTAAGAACATCTACTAAATTTTCAGAATTTTTTTTTTTACAGTGTGACTCCCACTTGGCCGGGCCCGCCTAGCGCGCCGTTGCCTACCTCCCAGGAGGGAGGATGCTCGGTGCCGTTGTTATGCACGCCGCACGGGGCCTCATGGGCGTGCGGCGGCGCGCGGCTCTTCTCGCGGCCCTAGCTCCTAAACCTTTTGAGATAAATGGTGGGTGTGCGCCAGCCTATTAGAGTACAAGGTTCACGCTTTCCATCGCTGGTAATGCCATTTCGATACGACCCACACAGCCCAAATGGCAGCCGGAGGAAAATCGTTGTCGGTGGGCGCACTGCACCGCCACCGCCGCAGCAGCGAGCAGCCGAACAATGAACTTGCCAATCTAATAAAGAGTGCTGAGAAGGCGGTTCAGGAATGTGTTGCAGCACATTCTTTCCGTGAAGACATGATGAAAACCACAATTAAGTACATGAAGTTGTCTTCTGTGGACTTGGTTCGCTGTATAGACCACGAATTAGAAGTGTCGAAAAGACTCATTAAATTTTACCTGCTTATGCGCATGTTTTTTTGTGTCTAATGAAGTAAACATGAAGGAAGCAGAGGACGAAAAACAGCTAGGGTACTCCCAAAATGTCTTCACTAGTCTTCACTTAATCTTCACTTAACTTGACTTCACTCCCTTTTGGCCCGACACGGCTC